TGGATTTTCTGGATCGTCTACATCAAAAAAAAGAAAACCTAGTCAATCTTTATCTTTAGATGCATATTATAATACAATGGTGAGCATCGATCAAGCTAAAGAAGCAATGGTCAACAAAGCATTAATCAAGTGGATTGTGAGTTCGGGTATTCCCTTTTCATCTGTTAATTCTCCTTATTTCGAAGATTATACCAAGTTATTGAACTTTGGATATAATTCACCCAAGCGCAGTGCATTAATAACTTCAATTTTGGATACAGAAATGGCGAACATTATACTAAAGATGGAAAAAGAATTATCAAAGGCTAAAAATCTTACATTGTGTATTGATGGTTGGAGTAGTCCATTGAAACATAGCATATATACTTTCATTATAATGACAAATGATAGGAAACAATATATTTACTCTTTGCAAGATTTTTCAAGATTCTCACATACAGCAAGCTTCAATGCCGAAAAAATAATAGAAATATTGGAAAAAGTCAGACCCAAAAAATTTATAGCAGTGGTATCGGATGCAGAATCTGCTATGATGGCAGCTAAACGTCAAGTTGCGATGAAATATCCACACATTTTACCAATACGATGCATTGCGCATCATATTCAATTAATTTCTAGTAGTATTTGCAATCTTCCTCATGCGAAACAGATTCTCTCTAATTGCCAAACAATTGTAAGTTTTTTTAGAAATTCTTACTCAGCTGGTGCTGCCCTCAGAGATGAAATTATACATTCCTTTACTGTTGGTGGGAATTTAAAGTCAACAACCAAGACACAGTGGTCAACAGCATGGGACTTTTGTGAATTCATATTGCGTAATAAAGCAAACATTAGATTGGTAAGTTTTGTAATCCTATCGTTGAATCAAATTATATATTTTATCTAAATGGTCTTTCATTATATTCCCACTTCATAATATTATTCTACTTCTGAACATTTTTGCATGGTCATATTTTGCTCGATCGTACTTCGCCACAAATCGTACTTCATTGCGCGATTATATTTTATTATATAATCGTATTTTGCCACAATCGTACTTCATTACGACATAATCGTACTTCGTTACGACATAATCGTACTTCATTATGTTTGCTACACAATTGTACTTCATTGCACGGTTATATGTTGCGTGATCGTACTTTATCTTTATTACGTGATTGTACTTCACTACATAATTGTACCTCACTACGCAATCGTATCTCATCACTACACGACCATATTACTTCATTACGTGACTGTACTTTGCTACACAATTGTACCTCACTATGCAATCGTATCTCATTATCTCACTACGCGACCATATTACGCAATTGTATCTCGCTACGCAATTATATTTTGCTATATAATCGTACTTCGTACACAATTATACTTCATTGCATGATCGTACTTTATTACTACGTGACTGTATCTCGTTACGTGATTGTACTTCATTACGTGACTGTACTTCGCTACACAATTGTACCTCACTACGCAATCACTACATGACCATATTATGCGATCGTATCTCATTACGCAATTGTATTTTGCTACACAATCGTACTTCACTATATAATTATACTTCATTGCACGATCGTACTTCATTACGCAACCGTACTTTGCTATATAATTGTACCTCACTATGCAATTGTATCTCATTACGTGATCGTATCTCATTACGCGACCATATTACATGATCGTATCTCGCTACGCAATTATATTTTACCACACAATCATACTTCACTACACAATCATATTTCGCTACATGACCGAATCTCATTACGCAATTGTATTTTGTTACACAATCGTACTTTACTACACAATCATACGTCACTACGTGATCGCACCATACTTCGTGAACATACTTCATGCTTTACAATTGCATTATTGAATTTGCTTCTAATAGGTATTAGAACAAGAATCTCAAGTTTTTAGTTGTGCTAATGCTGTCAAGAACCTTATTAATAATCGTCAATTTTGGGTTGATGTTGAACAATTGAAATATTCTTGGTCCAGCAAAGCGAGCCATAAAAAATGTTGAATTTCGCACTACTATATTAGCTGACATATTTGTTGAATTGGTGAAAATGGCAATTGCGATTCAAAAAACTTCTGCTTTGTTCAATAGTCAGTTCCGATGTGATTGCATAGCTATTTACAATAAACGGTGGAAGGAATTTGACACAGATTTGTATCTTTTGGTATTTTTTTTACATCCAACTTATCGCGGTATTTAATAAATTCTAATCTATAATATATTTCTAAATGCTTTCACTTATTAACCTATATTTTTTAATTAGGTGAATTTTTTGAGGCAAGCATATATAAAAATCATGTTCTTAAGAAAGCATTGGAAATTTGGAAACAAATTGGTGGTGGTCGAACAAGTGCTGATTTCTTAAAAGTTCAAATGAGCTTATATAAAAATCAAGAATCTTCCTTTGATAATATATTTAATTCATCCATTGATACGATCTATAATTGGTGGCTCTCAGTTGATCTTAAAAAAAATGAAGATCATATTAAGACTTTAGCGATAAGAATATGCTATTGTTCCTCACAATGCTGCATGTGAGCAAGTCTTTAGTATATTGAGTTGGTATTTGGGAAAGTGATGAAATAAGTGAGTTTTTATGGATTAGTGAAGTATTTTATAATATTATATAAATATTATGCTAACCCATAAAGATTATACATGGAGAATTAATATCTTAATCTTTATTAATTTTTTATTTGCATTTTAGTATACATATTAAATGGTTAGAGGCTATGGCATAGATGCATTCTTTTTTAATTGAAAATGCCAAATCAGAACTTAATTTTGTGAATTCAAACTTGAATCAAAATGAATTTTTATCAATTTTCAATCAAATCGCAATTGCTATGCAAGAAGGAGATGATTTATTTAATGAAGAAGATTCTTTTTCTTTTCAAGAAGAATCTATAGAAGAAATTTCAAAGGATTCAGCAATTGATTTAATTGGTGAAAATGCATTAAATTTAAAAATTGAAAATTTTATAAATTTATCTTCAAATTTAGAGCATAATGAATTATTTAATTCAACTGAAGAACAAATTGAA